GTGACAGAAGCCTGAGTACCAGTTTCTGCCGTGGCAGCACTGGTCTGTGTGGCAGCATTACATGCTGTCCTGGCAGGTGTCTCTTCCCATGGGCTGGTTTGAGTTGACACACTTTTCCGTTCCACTATGACCAGCTGATTGCTGAATGACTCCTCTTCACAGAGGAACGAATGCCCCAGGTTACAAGGTTTCCCCCCAGGAATATCTTCAGCCTGATCTAGTTCTTCCAACAATTTCTTTGGAGTGCTAGACAGTCTGGCAAATTCTGCTCTCAAGTTGCCTTCCACAGTATATTCTTTGGAGGACTCTGTTCTGTTCACCAGGTGATCAAACATGCCACTGTTCCTGGATGGGCACTGAGGGCTGATGGGCAGCGACTGGGCATACAGAATCCTGAATTGGAGGTCAAAGTTTTCAACCACTTGACCTGACAACACCAGCAAGTTACTGCTGTTCAGTTTCCCATCAGACCATGTGAAACTGTTGAACACAAGATTCACAGTTAATCTCCAGTGAATTTCAACACATGCAGATGACATGAACACATTACAGATAACAAGACTCATCTTAGAAATGCTGTGCCTAAGGAGGGTATGAAGTTGATAGATTATTCACTCCTCCAGGAAGAACTTATACTTAGTCATGGCCAAGTGCCTTGTTAGCAACAAGTTGTATAAAGGAGTTTTCCAAAGCCATTTTCAGCTTTGTGTATCAGTCCCACTTGGACTCTGCTTGTCCATGTGCCATTGGTGCTCATTAACACCAGGCAAACAGCAAAATTAACTCATCCTTCATGCAGCAAATCCCCCTTTCTACAGCTTCAGTAAGAACCAGCAGACCCCAATACTTGCCTGTAGCTTCAGTGGGAACCAGCAGACCCCAATACTTGCCTGTAGGAGCCTGTTGTCACTCTAATGCCATCAATTAACATGAACTTCTCCTTGGCTTTCCCGACAATCTTGGCACCTGATCTCATGTAATACGTGTTCCCTGTGAGTGTTCGAACTCTCATCAGCTGATTTAGAAAAGAAAGGAGAAAGGAACATCAGATTTCAGGTAACTTCGGGAACCAGCAGACCCCAATACTTGCCTGTAGGAGCCTGTTGTCACTCTAATGCCATCAATTAACATGAACTTCTCCTTGGCTTTCCCGACAATCTTGGCACCTGATCTCATGTAATACGTGTTCCCTGTGAGTGTTCGAACTCTCATCAGCTGATTTAGAAAAGAAAGGAGAAAGGAACATCAGATTTCAGGTAACTTCCAACAAGTTTTGATTAGCAGTTCTGTCTATAAGCAGCTGAGCACATTATGGAAGACAGGAATGAAATTAACTTTCTTGCAGTCTGAGAGTGTTATTAGTTACATGGTGCTAAATTTCTGTAGATTCAGGGAGTTTGTGGAGAGAACTGCCGGTTCCAATTGATTACTGCCCAGGAAGTTAGGAGTGTTTCCCTGTTCAGAGAAACTCTCACTGGAGTGAACATAAGCCTGTGCAAGCCAAGTCGTAACAGTCATGTCAGCTTATATCCAGAGCAATTAAATAAATCACCTGGGTCACATCATCCAGACCCTTTAGAGAGAAAGCAACAAGGTATTGGGAAAGAAATCAGATGATACCAGAGCTATACCACCCTTGAGCTTCCCATGTTTCTGTTTCCCTTAGCAAGCAGTTCCTTGAGCCAAAGAATAAAGCTACTTAAAGATTGCAAAATTAAATGCTTGAAAATTGTTGCATCCTCAGGACAGAGATCACAGTGCACTCCACCCAGCACACTGGGCTGATGTGGAGCATGGCCATAGCTCCTACATACAGGCAGCATAGAGTGGCAGATGTGCCTTTTCTGCAGAGGTTTTGCAGAGTTTGTGAGCAGGTCTCACATGTTGGATTAGAAGCTGTACTGAAACCATGCAGTACTGAGCCTTGATCCTCAGGAGCCAAGAAACCATTCAGAAAATCCCCTTTTCTAGCAGTTGTAAACAAGCAGGATGCTTTAGCCTTTCAGGGCAGTCTGATGCTTTATAGAAGGGTTTCTTGGATATGCATAAACTGTACCACAAAAATTAAAAACAAACCATGCCCACCCACATTTAGTACTTACACTTTCCTGTTCAGGACAAACTCCCAAATTGTTGCACATTTCCAAGAAATGAGGTAGAAAGTCCTGGTCCAGAAGGATGTACACAGGGACTTTGCGGTTGTTATAGGCATCCTGAAGGTCACTGAAGATATCGATATCTGTGAAGGAATCCATCACAAGGGCAATCACCTGTGAGAAAAGTGACAACACTTAGTCAAGAGCTTATTTTACACCAGGCCAAGTCACTGCCTCCCTCAGCCATTTTCTCCTGCTGCTATCATCAGGGCCACATACACATCTCTTGTGCTGCTGCACAGGCCCTGGCAAATTATACAAGATTTCTATATTCCCACAATTTTTCTGTGAATTCATTGTGCCCCAGAATGCAAAACATAAGCCTGAAGAGGTTTTCCCTCCTGCCTGCTGCTTTTGAACACTTTCACATCCTCCTTTCCTCCATAATCCCCTGTAGTCTGGCCATTCAGTTACATGAGGGAAGCTATCACAGCAGACTTGGAAATCCAGACAAGCCATCTCCATGCCTGTTCTCCCAGAGTTTCAAACAGCTAAAGGAGAATCAGCTCGAGTGGCCTCCTGGTTGTCCCATCTGAGCAGCTCACGAAGCCCAACTGATTTCCAGACTTTTACTGGATGTATTCTGACTTTCCATCCCATACCTTCAAAGAAATCCTTCTACTCACCCAACAGTTCTTTAAAGTAGGCAAAGCCTAAGATGGGAAGATTTTCTCTCAGTGTGAAGACAAGAGGACAGTCCAATGTGTACGAACAATCTCCAGCTAATTCAGAGCCACCTCACACAATGTTTGGTGCTAGAATTTTCACCCTTCAAAACCACCTCTGTATGGTCAGGGACACAAAAGATTAAGCCTCATGTTTGACTTTTCTATTCTCCTTCTATTAGACCAGCATCAAGGACAACAATTATACAACTGCTGTGGGCACCTGGCACCTTTCCTACCTTATCAGATAGACGATGCATTCACGCTCTGCTGCAACACACCCAAGGCACATGTGCATGCAACACAGCTGCTCTGTGTGTGGCATTGCCTGTTCTCAGAGGAAACATTTCCCACAAGAACAGGCTAAGCTTTGCATTCCCACCTGTGTCCTGCTCCCTAAAGGATTGGCTCCATATGGCTGAGTCCTTGCATGTAACACACACAGTCACATGGGTATTTCTAGACAAAGTTCGTTTATGCTTGTGCTTCTTGTATCTCCTGTGCTTCTCTCCACCCAATCACTTGTCTGAGTGTTAAAGGAAAACAAAACAGAACAAAAAAGACGAAAAAGATGCCTTTAACAAGACCAGACAAGTAAAAAAAACAACACCTGAAAACAAAAGAATTCACACTAAACACTTGGAAGCACGGGTGCCTTCATATAACTACTCAATTCACTGCACATTTGAGTTCTAATCCTAGAATTAGGAGCTGAAAAAGAAATACAGTTTTACTTAAAACGTTTAGAGGAAAGAGAGAAAACCCTTTTCTCTACACTCATCCACACAGGATAGCAAGGGCAAGATAGCAACAGTGTCCCCTTGAGCCACTTGAGCTAACCACACTGGAGTGAGATGGGAAGAAACTACACAGCATCTGAAATTTTCCCATTCCCTGATCTCATGAACCTGATAAGGATCGTTTGAGAACCGAGCATTCCGTGTGACCGTTTCTGGCAGGGAGCCCATTGCTCATGTCATCCTCACACACACCCAGAGCTTCTGCCCACAGAAGGGAGCAGAAGCTCTGTTTCTGATTCAGGGTGTGCCGTGTGTGAGCATGTTACACACAGAGGCAGGAGTTGCTTTATGTGTCCACCCAAAAAGGAAACTAACCATTTAAATTTCAGCTAAACCATTTGAATGGTTAGGGAGAAGGGTGGTTCCCTCCCGGGGATTACAGTTGGAGGCTGTGAATTCAGGTAACTTAATGAGTTACAGAGAACAGTTAGGAGTTACTGTACCACATGATTTTAAAGCCATATCCTGCATCAGATCAAAAGCAGGAGGAAAGTCCTGCTAAGAGCAGGTCTGCACATCACTTGGAGGCAATTAATGAGCTGAAGACGGAAGGTACAATCAGTGTTACCTCTGTAGACCACCTTCTTTTATAAGAGACCTTTTTTGTGTTAGAGCCTTTAAGGGACAGTAGGAGGTTTCTGTAAGCGAATCTACCTTGCACAAAACACATCAGTGAGAAATCTGGAATCTTCTGCTCCGAGTGAGAGCAAAATCAGCTCAACACAGCGGGTGAGTTGGCCATAGCAGCAGAGACACTGCACGGCAGCACTGCGGGACGGGGAGCTCCCGGTCCATCACCTCCCGAGCAACACAACGGGGAAAGGGAGAGCTCGGGAGTGGTGCATATACAGTGAGACTCGTGTATTTTCGAGCTTGACCTCCGAACAAAACTTTCTCTGCTCGACAGGGGTTTTAAAGCTGGTTGGCTTTACTCAGTGTCACATGGAGATGCTTATCTGTACCGGTGCGGTCTGTGAGCGGATATCGGTGCCGGTGTGATTGATCTGTGAGCGGCTATCGGTACCGCTGTGATTGACCTGTGAGCGGAGTCTATCGGTACCGGTGTGATTGACCTGTGAGCGGCTATCGGAGCCGATCGGTGCCGGTGTGATTGATCTGTGA